GTTGTTTGGTATTACTAAACATCGATAAATAAAAGCATTCCATGTGATATTTTTTCATAAACCGTAATATTTATGCTTAAAATAAGGGAAATCCAATATAGATCCGCTCCCGTAGATCCAGAATTCTCATTGGTTGTTCCAAAATAAAACCGATCAAGGTCAGTAAACATGGCGGACAAATTCAAGTTATGATGTTGACATACACGAAAAATAACCGATCTACGAATTGTTCGTTATATTTTTGGACCAATTCATGTCTTGCATAACTACATTTTATGAGTTCAGTTAAGATATGTTAATAAAATACCCACTTTCTGATAATTTGAACCAAAAACTGTGCGGTAGTGAATCACTCCCGCACTTGCACCATTACGGAGATCCTAAGGAGTTGTAGCCGTCTCCCCCCCAAAAAATCGGAGAGGGTTACATTATTGCAGCTAGGTATAAATATCTAAATAAAATTAAGGATGACAAATAAAGGGCAAGGGTTGTTTTTATTTTTAAGGAGGTTGGGGTTAGGGTAAGGTTTTGTGTAAGGGTGAGCGTTGGTAAAAATATTATGGTTTGCGGAATCATAATTCAATATCGGTACGAGATCGACATTAGGACAAACTTAATAATCAGAAAGAACGTACTCATAACTGTTGCATAAAGAAATACAGCCACAAGAATGATGTCGAAAATGATTTGATATCCATACGATATCGTCGATATCGACATTATCGATAGCAAGTACAATCTTCCTAAATTTAAAGTATTTAAACAAAGGCATACATGCACAATGGCAAGGACAGCAGTTTGAAATGCTTGAGCAGACATGAATCGACATCGAAATGATATCGACACTATGAAAATGATAGCATTCAGGTAATATAACATTGAGGGAGGTAACCAACATCCATTGAATAATCATGATTCAATATCAATGCGATATCGTGGATACGTACAGTAAGAAAAACTTTGTAAATATTGAGTATTGTAACATACGAACAAGAAAATAGAAATATTGTAGCAAACTATGAAAAAATAATCTGTCGATATCGTAACTACATCTTGTCTTGGTCATAACTCGGCTCAAAAGAGCCAGGAACATGAAATTCACAACTTTCCTCTCCTTTTACTCACAGATGCTATATAAAATTGATTAAAATTGATATAAAGGTCACATAGAAAAAAACTGAGTATGTTTAACTATAACATACGATGGACGACAAATGACAACAGACGAAAACATATAGCAATAAGTCACCTGAGTAAATGAACAACCTCATCTCAAAATGTAATGTTAAAATGTGACAATGTTCGGATGAGATAATTGTCTCAAAGACTCTCTTAAAACATAACAAAGGGCACTTTCTATGATCCCTTTCCCTTGCCTAGTGTTGGTTTGTTACATTATTCAAAGATGGCGAAGAAAAAAAACGCTTGAAACAACCCACTTGGTGGAACCCCTACAGTTCCAACTTAAAAGCGAAAATGATAAGCCAGCCCCCCTCCCCCCCCCCCCCCCCATTCTGCCACAAAAGTGCTTTCATGCACACTTCAAAAATAATGGGGTAATAGACGAATCTTAAATTTTCTTAAAAACTGAACAAGAAAAAATATAAAGTTTCTATCAGAATATTGGCAATGTCCAATCTTAAAGACCCTCCAAAAACTGAAAAGGAATACTCCCTATGATCCCTTACCTTTCCCTTGTGTTGGTTTCTTATGGTGTTCAAATATTGCGAAAAATAAATACTTCAAAAAGGGCTTTCAACCAAAGCACAACTAGGTGGTCCCCCTAAAGTCTTAATCTGAGATCGGCAAATGATAGCCCGATACGCCACCTCCTATGCCCTACTAAGGTATGATGCATATCCACTTTCAAAAAATAATAACTGATCTTTATCCGTGTTTCAATATTCAATGTAAATAAACGACAAAGTTGAACTGGCCCCCATCAAGTCCGAGAGAACCCGAAAGTTTCCAATGATCCTCAACCAGTATTAGTTTCTTCTAGGGGCCTAAGGTGATTTGAAAATGAAAGTTTGAATTACGCCCCCACCCATGGCACCACTTGGTGGTACCACTACAGCAACATTCTGATAGCGGGAAATGATAGTCCTAGGGGCCCTCTACCATGCCCTAGTAATGATTTGAAGCACACTTCAAATAAAGATAAGGGGTATAATAGCTGACCTTTAACCAGTATATTAAAACACAATGTGAAAAACAACAAAGTTCAGGTTAGCTAACTGGCCCTTTTTCTTCAACAGGACCCTTCGAAAACCTGGCAAGTGGTTCTCCCTAAGGTCCTCAACCTTTCACTACTGTTACTTTGTTCTAGTAGCCAAAGATGCTTTCAAAATGAATGCTTGAAATACGTGCCTCACCCATGGCACCACTTGGTGGTACCACTACAGTAACAATCTGATAGCGGGAAATGATAGTCCTAGGGGCCCTCTACCTTGCCCTAGTAATGATTTGAAGCACACTTCAAAGATAAAGGGTATATTAACTGACCTTTAACCCGTATATTAAAACACAATGTGAAAAACAACAAAGTTCAGGTTAGCTAACTGGCCCCTTCTTTTCCAAGGGACACTTCGAAAACCTGGCAAGTGGTTCTCCCTAAGGTCCTTAACCTTTCACTAGTGTTACTTTGTTCTAGTAGCCAAAGATGCTTTCAAAATGAATGCTTGAAATACGTGCCCCACCCATGGCACCACTTGGTGGTACCACTACAGCAACATTCTGATAGCGGAAAATGATAGTCCTAGGGGCCCTCTACCTTGCCCCAGTAATGATTTGAAGCACACTTCAAAGATAAGGGGTATAATAGCTCACCTTTAACCCGTATATTAAAACACAAAGTGAAAAACAACAATGTTCAGGTTAGCTTACTGGCCCTTTTACTTCCTCGGGACCCTTCAAAAACCTGGCAAGTGATTCTCCCTAAGGTCCTTAACCTTTCACTAGTGTTACTTTGTTCTAGTAGTCAAAGATGCTTTCAAAATGAATTCTTGATATACGTCCCCCACCCATGGCACCACTTGGTGGTACCACTACAGCAACATTCTGATAGCGGGAAATGATAGTCCTAGGGGCCCTCTACCTTGCCCCAGTAATGATTTGAAGCAGACTTCAAAGATAAGGGGTATAACATCTGACTTTTAATCCGTATATCAATAGACAAAGTGGAAAAACAACAAAGTTCAGGTTACCTAACTGGCCTTTTCTAGTCATTGGAACCTGTCAAAAAGTTGACAAAGGATACTCCCTAAGGCCCTTAACTTTTTTCCAGTTTAGTGTTAGTTTGTTCTAGTGGTCAATGATGGTTGAAAAATGAAAGCATGAAAGATGTTCCCCACCGTTGGCACCACTTGGTGGTGCCGTTACAGCCTCAAACCGATTGCGGGAGAGATAGTCCTAGAAATCTTCTATCTTGCACAGTAATGATTTAAAGCACACTTATAAGATAAGAGGTATAATAGCTGCTTGAAATATGTAACCCGCCCTTGGCACCACTTGGTGGTACCACTTCAGCCTAAATTTTATGGCCGTATATAATAGCCCTGTGGACCCTTTTACCTTGAGCCAGTAATTGTTCGAAGCACACTTCAAGGATCATAACTTAAAATAGATTAAATTACCTTCAAACCCTTATCAATGTAAATATTAGGAGTAAGCAAATTTCAGGTTAGCCTTTTGGCACCATCATGTTCCTGAGACCCGTAAAAGAGCTTAAAAGGGATTCTCCCTGAAGTACTTAACCTATTTCCAATGCTGTTTTATTCTTAAGCGGTCAAAGATGGTGACATTTTCTTCTTTTTGTTTGTTTGTTGTGAAACCGCATAATTTTCTTTATGCAGGTGAGCTTAACTGCCTCCAAGTGTTTGAATTATTAATTAATAATTAAGTGTTGCATTAATTATCTAATTATTAATTATAAATTGTCGAAAATGAGGCATTAAACAGTATTGCGTCAGAGTACTCTCAGTCCTTTGATGAATTTCCTTAGTGGCTGCTAGCTTCTACTGGCTTAATGGTTGCTGTTATTGGCTGCTAGCTTCAGTCTAGTGGCATCAGGTGCCCTGGAGGAGTAAGCATTCCCTGCGGACCGGTCACACTCGCCGTGTGCTCCATGCCATGATAGGGAAGTAACGGAAAAATCCGTCGACAATTCAGTGTGTAAATTATGGCCTAATAATTAGAAAAATTAGAAACATCAATCAGCATTTGACTTAATGACAGATTGCATTTGCTGACAAGGTCATTGTATCGACCAAATATACTTAAGATTTAATAATTTTTTTTGGTTGTGGTCCCCGTGCCTCCATCCTTACCCCCAACTTTTCAACCCCCCTTTTTCTGTTATAAAAAGTATCACAAAGACAAACCTATTAAGCACATGGGTCGATAGTTATTGTTTAAGGATATATTCTCTATAGAGTATGTAAAATCCAAACCGTTTAGTTGGGAAGGTTTACTATGCGGAAGACAACACTATACTGTTTATCCCCCATGCGGTAAGGTTTACTATGTAGTAATTCTTTTGAGAAGGATATTTATTATTGGGGAAGGTTTACTCTATCACACATGCATTCATTAAAAAAATTTAAGCTTTAATCAATGCTATATAAAATCATCTGAAACATAATTCATCGTTCAATTCATTTTGTTTCTATTAAGATAATTGTGATATTACAACCATACATTTTTTTTTCCCGAAATCTCTGAATTTACACATTATTGCATAACAACGTGCATTTTGCAAAATACGATGATCATAGTGCTTTGTTAAAGAATAAAAGATGGTACATATTTAATAATATAATATCATATGCATATATGTCCTCTTCTTTATTATTTGAAATATTTAAAATATTTTAAAATTTTAAAATATTTGTCGTATGTATAGGAAAAAGAATAAATTAATTTGGATACAAGAATAATAAAAATGATGTCTAAAAATTTACATGCCACAGAATCATAATGTGGATCTTTTTTGTATAAACATGAAAGTGAGTTATTATGCTATAGTGGGTGTCCCTGGAGAAGTACTGAGATGGAAAATTGAAGCAAGAAAGCGGTATGTGGACTACGCCAAGAAAGGAACACAGCGGGTCCATCATGCCCGAGGAATGATCGTAGGATGTGCTGGGGCCGGTAAGACCACACTTCTTAAACGCCTCCTGAGGTGCGATGAGAAGGAGATACTTCAAGTAAAGCCAACGGAAAGACTGGACGTCCACGAGGAAATATTTCAGATTTGTGATGAAACAAAAACTTTAAAAGGTAAAATACATGAGTATAAAATCGTGATTCAATTATTTTTGATTGCGTATTTAATGTAAATAAATTGACTAAGAAAACTAAACTACAAAAAAAAAAAAAAAAAAAAAAAAAAAAAAAAAAAAGGAAAATATATTCCAGAAAATATAAGTTTTCAATGTGTTAAAGGTTTAAAAATTACATTTATAAAAACTATTTATTAGTTGACAGTATTCACAAATTTTATGAATGAGGTAAATGGGAACACTTTGATAACTGTTGCCCAGGCTTGAAGGCCAAGGGCAAAAAATCCCATGGTCTCCCCCCTCCGAGGGACAGCAATACACTATGACTGCTTCCTATTGTTATGTAACCTGAAAATACAAGAGATGGGATCAGATGCGTAGGAAGAGTAAGTATCCCCTTTTTATCAAGTGCGCCGGCCTGAGCACTTTGTATTGATCAGAAAGACGGTGTAAACTATAGCCAAATTTGATATATAAAGAATGGCCTAACAATTGTTAAGAAAGGTGTCCGTTAAAAAAACCAAATAAGTCATTATAACGACCACAGCATTTTCGAAATACTACATGTATCACGTTTTGGGAAATCCCTGTAACATCAAAATATTTGTCAGTGACCTGCCTTAAAAAATTGTCGTACTCAGATCATGCCCTTAGTTGTTAGTTTTTGGTTGGCTACTACCCTCTTTAATCAGTACATCCAAATACTGAACAGATGTGACAGGTTCTGCGTCCTTTTTCAAGTTCGCATGTGTATATTACGTCGAACTATGAATGAATTCAAAGTAGATATTGCCAGTTGGTAAAACGTTGTCGATATATCTAAATCTAACAAATGAATATTAGTTTATTTTTTCTCATGTGAAGTTTTTTTTAAAAATGAATTTTGCTTCATAGGAATACGAAACAGGTCGTCTAATAATGGAGCACAATTAGAGTCGATAGCAAATCCAACACATTGCTGGAAGACGGAGCCTCTAAAGAGTACATACATTTAAATATTGTCAATGAGAAATTCGAACCAATGCATCGCTATCATACATGTATCAACCTCAGAGTACCTGTGTGTTGTATCAGAATGATTTTCGACATATTAATTAATTGATAAATGACAAATCAAGAAGTATGAAAAATTCCGAGATGCATTTTTAATGAAGAAGCAGTTGTCTATCTACGATCTCGTGTGATAAAAAGCATAATCTTTAATTTATGGTAGGAAATGATTGTATAAAGTGATGAATAGCCATACGTTTTGATGTTTTTGCCTTTAAAAAAATAATACTTTCAATTTCTTATGGTCGGGGGTCCTATAATCGTGCGTGCCCAGTAGCCGTGCATGAATTTTCTTTGTTGTCGTACGTTTGCACGTGCTATGATATTACGCCATAAACGACTGATTTTCAAAGATTAGAGAAGGAAGTGCTTACTCCAAAACAAAAAGTCAAATATGCGGAGGAAACATTTATAAATTAATCAAATAAACATAAGCATCAATAAAAGCCGCCATTTTGCTAATACTCTTTTCACAGTTTCTAAATATATACTCCACCTTCACGGAAGCGCTACCTATGAACATGACGAGCACATGGCTAATTAGCATAATCATACGTGATGATCACTGGGTATTTCAGTTTTTTACTTTGGTCAAGAATTTCAAAAGATGACTTGATAAAAATCGTATAGTCCTTATACCGAAATACGTAATTATTACGAAGGAACACATGTATAGAAAGAGTGATGAAAAACTTATGACTCATTTTAGCAAAAACAATCGTAAACCTAATTAAATCTAACATATTCTAAAAATGATTGAATTGATCCTTGAAGGATAATTTAAGTCTTAGTCACATGAAATTTGTTTTAATTTTGTTTTCATTTTTCTTGGCCCATATTTGCTGCTTCATCCGAGTGAACGACTACTGGTCAAAAACAAATATGGCCGATGTAAACCTCACTTGTTTTGTGCATCGATACCAAATTTAATAAAGCATTTTTAATAAAAAGAAAATTAGACAATTACACGGTAAGTCAAGATATTAAATGAAATAACCACGTTTTTCATTTAAATTGTACTTAGCACTGATACTCTCTTAAGAGCACGACTACTGGTATAAAAAAATTACTATCATAGATATCGTTTCATTTCTTTAAGTAATAATATAGGCCTTGTAATCAGTATTTTTTTTAATTTAACGTCTTTCTGTAACAACATCAACAGCAACAGTTCGTGGATACTTCAAATATAATTTTATTTGTTAAAAAAGGAATTGAATTTCAACTTTTTATGATGTTATTTCAAAAATATAAATTGAGTAATCGTCAGTATTAATGATGCATGTGAGCAAGGTAATACTGACGTAAGGTTGTAATATCAAAAGCCGCTTTAACAATGCAACAGTTTCCTTGTAATCTGTGATCCGGTTACAGTTTGACTGTTTCACATTGTGCAAAAACGTTTATAAAAGCAGGAAGTAATTAAAAATGCCTATTTACCATTCATAAAGGTGGTTAAGTTATTTTTTTCCTTTTTAATGGACTTTTTTTAGTTTCACACATGTATCAAATACAAATTATGCAAATGAAATATCAGTTCCCATATCTAAACATGATTGAATGCATAGTTACATTGATGATATATGAATAAAGCTGTGTAATTTTTATTCAGCATTTTTAAAATAAATTATATTGAAATGAGTCAAACAAATATAAAATAGTAATTATACGTTTGCTCTAGTACATTTATTCATGCAAAAATTTAAATTGTCATTTATTCAATCTTATAAAGCAAAGAAAAAAAAAAGAGAAAAATTAGATATATCGCTAAAAATGTGTACAGATACAAGGACACTATATCATTTGTATATCTGATCTGCATAAGGTGATTTGATTTGCGAATGACGTCATGATAGCTTTACTGAATAGCCTTACTGTAGAATTTACTCTGAAATGTATCATTTTGTTATCCCGTAATTCCAAAAAATTGAGCAAAAAGAATTGGAACTCATGAAAACCACCAGCGGAAAAAGGAAAACAAGGAAAAACACTTCCAGCGGGAAAAAACGTATGATTCATTAGCTGATCCAGCAGGAACAGGGGGTATTCAAAGGGTCAGAATAAAGGGTAAAGAGCAAAGGGTGATCCGTAATTCCCTGGGATTTTCAGGGTTATTATACATTAAAATAGTATAGAAATCATACAATGACCTATAAACCCTTAAGAAAAACTGATACCTTGTTAGAAGAGTTATATATAAATATGTATGAAGGAATGCAGCTTATTCTTAAGTGTTGAATCCCTCCAAAGAAAAAGGTTATCTTAAAGTTCTTCTGTGGAGTGGTTTGCATTTATAAAATTGGTATCACGTATATAAAATGACAGGCAAAAGAAACGCAAAAAGCAGTTTCATACAAACATATAAATACGTACAAAAATTTTTTTACTGTTATGTATATGTTAATAATGTCAGTCAAAAGCTCATAAGTGCTTGTGTTGTCTTTTTAACTACCAAACTGACTTTAAATAAAGCTTATCTTATCTTATCTTAAAAAGAAAAATTAAATAATTTAGCAAAGATTTACACAGCAAGGAAAACTTCTGTTAAACGCGCCAGATATTTTATGAAAACTCGTAATTCTTCTATGATGATAGTTTAAAATCAGTAATTCAGTTTACTTTTTTTTGTTTTTAAACTGGTATGTTATTAGGTATTATTATGCTAATTCTGCAGCACTGAGTATGAACGAAGACGATGGAAAAGATCATTTTAACTGGAATCAAAATACTAAGAAGTTAAGTTTTTTTGACTTTGGGGGACAGTGTGTATACTACGCCTGCCATCAGATTTATCTAACTAGGAGGGCCTTCTACATAGTGGTGGTGGACGCATCAAAATGTCTGGATCATAAGGTTGATAAAGCTGTATGTGATCAAGATGATAGTGTTTTCAGTGGATGGACATACGGAGGTATTTTATTTTGAATTCGAATAAGGTCTTCCCCTATTTCCTGGAAATTCAAAGATATGTATTTGCTGTTTGGGTTTATGTAACAAAACCAAAAAAAAAATGTTCATAATTTTGCTCAAAAGATGATAAATGAATATTTTACAATAATTGTTTTAAAGGATTAAATGGTACCAAGTAATACAACAACCATGCCATTTTATTACCAATGTTGAACTGGAGAGGGGTGGGGTGGGGGGGGGGGGGTCAAGTCCTTTATAATGATAGCTTACCTGAAAAAAAATTGACAAGTCCAAAAGGAGAACTCTCCAAATTCAAATTTATAATCTTATTTCGGTGGAGGTTGGGGTAGGGAAGGTAGGCTTATGGTATTGTTTAAAAATGTGTTGAGAGAGGGCAACCCGACTTTTATGAACATTTTCAATTTACATTAAAAGTAAAAAAATCAAATTCAGAAAAAAAAGATGTGACACCCCCCACTCCCGATTCTATGGACCCCCCCCCCCCCCCCCGATTCTATGTGCTTGAATGTTATGCCCCCCCCCCCCGCCTGGTCCTTCTGTGCAACAGGGGGTATTTTTATAAGTATATGGCAATCAGATTTTCAATGAATATTTAAAAACTAAACCAACAGTAAATATTAAGATGGTAACCCCCCCCCCCCCCCCCGATTTTATGTGTCTTAATTTTTTTGTCACCTGAGTCGAAGTCGATTGCAGGTGAAATAACATTACTTTTCACAACTACATGTAATTGCATTAAATTGGAAGTTGTAGGTCTAAATTTATTTTTATTCCAATGCTGAAAAAATAAATCTTCATGTTTTCCCTTTAAAAATTGTTCCCTATATAAATCTATACTAAAAAAGGCTAACATTTCCAATTTTTTTCTCAGCGGTGCAAAAATAAAAAAAAAAAAACGATGTGGACCGCAGAGCGAGATGTTAGACCTGTCGATAAGATATTGGACTGCTGTGACACTTATTACGTCATACCGTATGCGGTCTCAGCTATATCTTATCAATTGCGGCAAACATGGAAGCCAGTGCAATATTTATGTCAAACTAAAAATTTAAAGGTACAACAAAATATTCATTGACTGTGTTCTCGGGCAAAATGCGTTTTATCATCAGCTCGTACATTGTATGATATTGTTTGCCTGACGCCGTTATTTGGTTCTTGGGTTCTAAAAGTCGCATGCTTCCCTCAAAATCACTCAATAAACATATAATGTTCACTTGGGACGTCACCTGCAAGTGAACATAACGTAGTACTTTTTCTACAATGTTGATTACAGCCAATCAGAGAACTGGGAATAAGTCAATGGTATGATAAATCTTTTCATTACATATGTCTCCCTTCCCCCAATATTTCACTTTAATTTAATCTTTTGGTGCTTCACATATCATATTAATGTTACTTGTATATGAATTAGGTCCGAGTATGAGTGATTAAAAATGACATGTTTCTAATAAACTCCTTTCTAAAGATTTTTATACAACAGTCATTTTTTTTAGGAAAGGAAACATGAACGTCGTTGTCAATGACATTATTTAAGTTTCAATCCGAATTCTTTACAAATTTCCATAAATGGTTTTCTATCTCTTGCTTTATTTTTTAATCCATTTTTTAAAAGAAGAAGGCAGAGGAATTATATGTTCTTATGGAAACTAAATGACATATTCTGTATTCAAATAATCAATGACTATCAAACGTCATTTTCTACTTTATTTTCAGACTACTTTGTGTTCTGGATAAAATCTATACACACATACTGTCGTGCAGAGAATGAAGGAGATGAAAAACCTGCAGTTCTTATTGTAGCGACTCATTGGGAACACAGGATTGAACAGTATAAGGTGAATTTAGTGACATATATGGAACGCCATAGCTGCCTGAAGGTCATTTTCATTTTATATGAGGTGGTATAACCTTTATGTGAAGTGGTGAAGTCATTATATATAGTGGTAAAATCATTATATTCAATGAAAACTTTATTATATGCAGTGGTTTTATCTTTATATACAGTGATAAAATCATTATATACAGTGATAAAATCATTATATTCATTGATAACTTCATTATATGCAGTGGTTTTATCATTATATTCAGTGGAAATGTCATTATATGTAGTGGTTAAATAATGTAATGAAGTGATAGTACCGTTACATTATGCTGTAAAATCCTTATATGCAGTGGTTTTTCCATTATATACATTACTGATATCTTTCTGTGATGTGATGAATTGAATATATACAGTACAAACATAATTTGTGTGATAAAGCAATCATTACATTGTATGAAACCCGCTGCATGTGGAGTACCAAGTTAATTTCATTCAGTGCGACACCTTTACATGAAGTGAAAAATCTATTATGTGCAGTACTAAGATCATTATATTATATAGAAAAAATTATTATATATATTCCTAAAATCATACTTTGCAGTGGTAACATCTTTATATGAGGTGGTTAATTAATTATATGATGTTGTTAATTTGTTATATGATGTGGTCAATTCTTTTTATGCATTAGTCGTTTCATGTTATGCAGTGGTAACTTCTTTATCATCATCTAAACTGGTCCTCTTGCAAAAACATTTTTAAAAAATGCAATTTCTGATTTAAAATTTTCAGACTCTTTTTTAATGTGTTTTCGCTGTAAAAATTGTATTTAAATACTTGGTATTTTAGATTTTCTTCACGATTTTTGGTTTCAAGTAAAATTGGTAGGCAGTTTCAATTTTCTGATTTAATATTTTATCCATTGTGCTATAAGTACTTAGTATTTTAGATTTTTTTTTTGGCGATTGTTGATTTCCATGTTGGTAAAATGTGTAGACTGGGTTGGCGATATATTATGTGTGTGTTTTTTTGTTGACATATTTGATAAAAATCTAATAAACTTAAAAAATATTCCGATGTTAAACACTGTATTTTAACTAAAAAAAGCTTTTCTTTTTGATAGTTATTTCTTTATTTGAAAATGCTGTTTTTATGCAAAATACACATTTTCATTAAAAAAAAAAGGATTATTAAACCAGATCCGATCATCCGGGAAGAACCTGGTGCAAAACACCATAAATCATTTCTAATTTCATAATATGCAAATGTGCACTTGTATCTATTTGTTAGTAGATGGAAGGAAACTGGATTACGTTAAATATGTAATTTGTTTAATAATTTTTTCGGGGGGGGGGGATGTTAAATTACTAATATCAACTATTTATAAGACTGTTTCTAAGACTTCAGAAAACCTTAAATCACATTGAAATGCTTAAAATAAAAATTGCTGCATGAAAACATTTCATTTTCAAGTTTCATCTTTGCCGTCGCCAACGTGGCACGGTGATTAGAGTGTCTGCTCTAAGAGACGCGGAATAAGGAGTCAATCCTTACGTCACGGGTTCGAATCCGACAGTGGGACGTTGAGACCGATCCTTCGTAAGAGACCGCATAAAGCCATAAACCGAGGTCCCGTTCCACAGTAGGTGTTGGCACGAAAAAAATCCCTCACTGCTCAATGGCCGTAAGTGTCGAGTATAGGACAAAATTTGCAGCTCTCCACTGGCAAATTGTGGCGTCTCCATATGAGTGAAAAATTCTCGAGAGGACGTTAAACAGCAAACAAACAACCAAATTAAAATCATTTTAGCCTTTTTGAATAAAATGATAAAATTAAGAGTTATCCTTCAAGGCTGAGGATCGGATATCCTTAAACCAAGCAACTTACGCGTGATTAAAGTTTGACACAAGGCTTTGCATTAATAGTCCTATAATTACATGTATATGTGATAATTCTTTAATTTATTTATATTTTATCAAATGGCATGTAGATAATGAATAAGTATTTCGGATTTTTTATGTTTAACTTCCGGGAGATCAAATCCGATTTTAATGAACCATTGGCATCGGAAGGAAATTGATAGTGGGGTGGCTAATTGAAATAGAAAAAAAAAATCAAACCTGAAAAAAAACTTGACAAGCAAAAAAAAGGGGGAAAATTGTTCTTTCTCCAAACCCGAAAATCCTATTTCGGGGGTGTGGGTGGGTGGGTGGGGTGGGGTGGGGGTGTGGGGGGTTGGTCGAACATCTCTCAGTACCAAATTCTTTTAAACACTACCAATTACCCTTCTTTCACTACAATGAATCGTGCCTGTAGAAAGTGGGGGGGGGGGGGGGGGGGGCTAGACCTACGCCCGAATTTTCAATGCCTATATTACGCCTACCTTTGACGCCTATGTGAACCAGTTTTTCTTAAACGTGTCATTTCACTCAAAAAATGCCTTTCAAAGAATGAATAATTTTTAACATCAGAATAATTTAAAAGTTTATTAGCTTTCTGTCAAATATGGCAAAAAAAAAAACCAAACAAACAAACAAACAAAAAACAACAAACAAAACAAGTAAAATGTCTACTTGATTGCCTACCCGATTTACCAACCTCACGGGCGGATTCAGAAAGGGCCTATGCCCCCCCCCCCCCCTTGTGTCCAAAATATACATAAGATTTAATAAATCAATTGTTTTTTGGTTTGGCTGTGGGCTACCTACCCCGACCCAAAACTTGTTGGGCCCCCCTTTTCAAGATTCCTGGATCCACCACTGAACTTGGAAATCAACAATCGCCAAGAAAATCTAAATTACTAAGTATTTTAAAATTAAATGCAATTTTTACAGCGAATACACATTAACCTATAAAAATGAGTCTTAAAATTTCAGCACAGTTGATAAAATCAGGAAGCTGTATAATAGAATCAGAAATTAGAAAAATCTCGAATAGTCCCGGCTTTTCATTTGCCACGGCCCGGGTTTCCTATTTTCAAACACTCTTTAAACTGGAACTCCGCGCATTTTTTTAAATAAAAGGACCAGTTTAGATGATGATAAAGAAGTTACCACTGCATAACATGAAACGTCTAATGCATATAAAGATTTGAGCACATCATATAACAAATTAACAACATCATATAATTAATTAACCACCTCATATAAAGATGTTACTACTGCAAAGCATGATTTAAGGAATATATATAATAATTTTACTATATAATATAATGATCTTAGTACTGCACATAATAGATTTTTCACTTCATGTAAAGGTGTCGCACTGAATGAAATTAACTTGGCACTCCACATGCAGCGGGTTTCATACAATGTAATGATTGCTTTATCACACAAATTATGTTCGTACTGTATATATTGAATTCATCGCATCACAGAAAGATATCAGTAATGTATAAAATGGAAAAACCACTGCATATAATGATTTTACAACATAATGTATCGATATTATCAATTCATTACATTATTTAACCACTACATATAATGACATTGCCACTGAATATAATGATAAAACCACTGCATACAATAAAGTTATCAATGAAAATAATGATTTTATCACTGTATATAAAGATAAAACCACTGCATATAATAAAGTTTTCAATGAATATAATGATTTTATCACTGTATATGATGATAAAACCACTGCATATAATGAAGTTTTCATTGAATATAATGATTTTACCACTATATATAACGACTTCACCACTTCGCATAAAGGTTATTCCACCTCATATAATATGAAAATGACCTTCAGGCAGCTATGGCGTTCCATAGACATAGATTTATAACGTTAAGCAGATCGAAGTACACTTTATATATACATGTACTATGAAATGTCAACAATGCTTGTATTATGGTAAAACTTTTAACTTGTGCGACGATTGATGCCCTTTACGTCCCAAATTGGAAAATGATTCGACACATTTAGCTTAAATAGCAACAGAGTTTGCATAAAACATCCCAAAGAAAGAAAATGCATGAGCAATCAAAGCGAGCTATATGTCTATAGTGCGACAAATATGGAGGTAAAAATTTATCTTAATTGTAACACATTTCCTGAAGTTGTCGGCGTAATGCACGCCTTATTCGCCCATCTTAGGATAAAAAACTTTCAATTTTACATATAAATGCTGCAATACATTAGTCATTTTGTAGAATAAAATTGGTTTATGATTATATGTTGCCAAGTGGAAGGACGTGTTAATACAATTTTATTCAAAATTATGAATATGTTATTTTCTAATCAATAACAATTGCAATATTTCAAGGACAGTTTATTGTTTCAAGGATGGTCTTTGAGAAACTGGTTTGTGCATAATGAGGTCTTTATTTACTTCTTTATCATGAATATATACAAACACATTTTTATGATTACTCTATGAAATTACTCATGCTACAAAACCTCGACTTACAGAAGCTTTAAGCCGAATATCATATTGTTATATGAAGTGGTTAAAGTAATTAATGTATGGTTAATTCTTGTTCAATAACATATCATTGTTCATGCACGTATTTTAATGCAAAATCATTAAATTGGAAAGTTTATAGGCCAGATTAGTAATGAAATATTTTTTTCGGGGAGTTAGTTTATGATGATATCTTTTATTGATAGGATAAATCTGTCTTCATTGAAAACCTGCAAAGGCAGCTTCCTAAAAGATTTAATCTCCCAGAATACCTCAGTGTGGATAACTGTTACTGCGTCCAGTTTTCTGTTCCCATTGAGAATTTAGAAAATCGCATTGCAAATATCGCAAGCCAGTCAAAATGGGAAGAAGAAATTCCCAAAGAATGGGCAATGTTTGGAATTCATCTACATTTTAGAAAAAAGGAAAAAATTCTCAATACAGCAAATATCAAACTTAATGCTGTAAAATATGATGACGTCCCTTCAACACATGTAGATGAAAAAACTAGTACGAGGAAACATGATATGCTCCGATTTTATCATGATGCTGGTAAAGTTTTGCATTTTAATGAAGATGGACTAAGAGAATCTGTAATTGTGGATGTGCAGTGGTTTGTTGATGCGTTCGAAAATATAATCATCGATAAGCTACATTTAAAGGGTATTACTGGAACTTTAGAAGACTGGGATGAGTACTATCAAACTGGTAATTTAAGAGAAAGACTCCTGGAGGCTATTTGGAAAAAGAAGTATGATATACATAGTCGTAAGGATCAAGTACTCCATTTCATGCAAAGACTCGGTTTAGTGGCTGTTGGGAAAGAGTCTTACTATGTTCCATGCATGAATCGTAAAGAAATGGGGATAAAAATTCAAAATGCGGTCCTCCAGTTTGAGAGCAGATCATCAGTTCTTGTGTATCGATTTAATGTTTTACCTTTTTTCTTCTTTTTTCGCCTTGTTGTTGAGTGTATGCAAGAAGAGGATTGGGATGTAATCAAAAGCGATGGAATATCGTTACTCTACAGAAACGCTGCTTTGTTTGCTTTTGAAGAAAACTATATTATCCTCTCTGTCACAGCAGATTCCATACAGCTACAAGTTTTTCACTCCAAACCAGGACAAAACTTGGATGAGGAAAAAACATGTCAAATCCAAACTACCATAGAGAAACTACTTACTGCTATTATAGGAGCGTTTCACAGAAAACTATTGTTTAAAATAGGAATTAGATGCCAGGAAGACAAAAAGAAACCATTTGCTATGGAAATTCAAGGTTATTTCCTAGAGGATAATGGCACACAATGGGAACATACTACAAGCGATCAAGTTTGCCCTCTACATCGAATGAAAGACACTCATTTCATCAACGCATATGAGTTGAAAAAATATTGGAAGTTTGAAGTTTGAGAAATTCCAAAGGTAGTCAGAGTAAAATGAGAACTCAATTCAAGATTCAAGATAACGTAAGATGCAAGTGAAAAACTCCTAAAACCTTTATTCCAAAGGATATCATACTTTTCTTTTCCCTAAATCTTTTTTAATAGAAAATACATGTAGATCAAACTAATGGATTGCTATGAGTGTATAGATTTTAATTTTATATGTTAATGAGAATACTTGGGCTATTCGAATGTTTTAACCTCAGACACTCGAATGGAAAATGTAAGTAAAATCAAACACTATATCATGTACGAAGGTTTTTCGAAAAGTTCGAGGACTATGTCTGTCTATATTTTACTATTTTTAAGAAGTATAAAACAAGCACATCATCATATATATATAAAAAAGTATTTATTGATTTGTGAAGTTTCATTTTATTTGATTTGATAGAAACCATATTACTTGATTTTTATTGTCAAACGATTCTCCCCGTAGCATAATTTCGCTTGTCAATGTTAATGTTATAATTTTTTTAAAGCATAACAGTGCTTTCACAAGATCAGCAACAGTGAAATGCCTCTCTTTCCATGACCTTACTAACTTAAAAAAGTTTTTGATTAGACTTTACAGATAATCCGTTTACTCACAGATCGTCCTCGTAAGGAATAGAGTCACTATCATTCAAATACTGTCTGTGCAGTTTACACACACATGCACGACTCGCTTTTCTTCCTCCAGCATTCTCAACAGAGTTTGATCCGGAGCTTACCCGAGTACAACACAAAATTGTATCATTAACTGCTCTCCATGAGGTTGTGCAACGTCATCCTTTTTTAGCCTTACATTGGGGAATACTTATCTTCTGAAATTGATTTCCCTTTTATGCAAAATATCAAGTCATATTTTGGAATATGAAACAATGTATCAATTCTTAATTTGAACGTCTAGGATTTTTTTTTTTTGCGCCATCTTACAGAGGATATTACTACAAACATTATTTAGTGTATTGTTTGTAAATTACTAAATTTTATATGATTTTAGCAGTTTTTAATTCTATATAATTCTAAAAATATCATGATATTTTGAAAACTTTTAATACAAATAAATCGAATTTATTTTTAAAACACATCTACCAAATTTGGATATATTTTTATATTAAGTAAAAACGTTATGACTGAAGTCCGCGAACTTTCCGCGATCTGATTTTAGCAGTTTTTAATTCTAAATAATTTGAAAAATATCACGATATTTTGAAAAAGAAATATATAAATAATTCGAATTTATTTTTAAAACACATCTACTAAATTTGGATATATTATTATATAAAGGACGACACCTAATTCGAAATTTCGTGCCATTGCACAGAAAACCGCGCATATGCCTTGAATCAAATTATGTATTGCAAAAGATATAAAACATACATTCTTAATTCTTTTAAAGATATTCAAACGTTTCCTCTCAATTCAAAAATATTGTAAATATTTCGATTTATATTCATTTGTTGATTTTATAAATGAATTATCTATTTGGCCAATGGATTTTCATTGAAAATTTCCCCTAAAATATGCCCTACACCTGAGTTTGACACCCCCCCCCCCCCTGAAAAATCTAAGCCGATGACCCATATACTTTTGGCCTAATTTGCTGGTAAACTGCAATTGAATTTTTATTCATGTTAAAGGACAATCCTTTAATATGAATAAAAATTCAATTGCAGATTTTTTTCAATGATCAATCTTATATATTTCCCATTAATTCCTATAGTAATTATCGATTTCCATCGCCAACTTTTGAAACGACCACCATTAAAAATCTACATCGATGACCATATGATTTTTTTTTTTATTGATTTTAACTCACCAAAAGTCTCTTTACCTCATATTAAAATTTGAATAAAAAATATATTGCAGAAATGAATTAGGTCTGTCGTCGTTAAGTGAAAAACGTTAGAACTGAAGTCCGCGAACTTTCCTAACAACCCTCGTAGATAATATATGTGTGTGTTCCTAAACATCATAACTTTTTTTTAAAAAATCGCATTCGCATGGTTTATATAAATATTCACTATGATTACGTATCATTTTAAGAATTATCAGGATCATTTCCCTTGCCTGCACAGGGCTCTAATTGGCGACTAATTTAGTCGCCATGGCGGCTAAAATTTTTGATTGGCGCCTAAAAAAAAATCAGAAGTTACCAAATTGGCGACCATTTTAAATTGACCTGGCGATCGTCATATTCCGGAAATTTTCACACTTTTAACATTTTTACTGAAAAAAAAAAAAAAAACGAAAAAGAAATTTAAAAAAGAGTAAATTATTTACATGTCGTGTTTTCTTAGGCACGTCATGGGTCCCTATATTCTATTAACTTTTAAAGTTAGCGCCTTAGAAAAATTGCCTGGCGACTAAAAAATGGCATTGGCGACTAAATTTTTTGATAAGTTTTAGAAGCCACTTAGAGGCCTGCTGCAAAAAATCGCAATACAATTCTATGTATTTTAAAAAAGTTTATATATATATATATATATATATATATATATATATATATATATATATATATATATGTAGATGCTCAAAAATATATGTAGATGCTCAAAAGAAGCAAAGTATTCATTGTTATTGTCAGCTATGCTGAAATGCCATTGTTTTAATAAGGAAATGTGATGTGTATGCATTAAAATTTTTATGTAGCAATTTTGGATATGAACTAAAGACGAGGTAAAATGAGGTGTATTGGGACAAAATCTTTAAGTTTTCAATGAAAAAGGAAAAATTTCTTATCAAAAATATTGGAGTTTTTCCAGGTCATACACAGGAATGTATCCAGAATGCCTACAGTCTTTAAGAAAACGGTATCTTGTATCTTCTAGATTTCATATTTGATATAATTATTGTAAAGGAGGAATGACAATTTACCTTAAAAAAATTGATGTCCTAAAAAAAAGAACTCTCCAAACTTTGTATCTTACATGTATTTCGGGGGATTGGGGTGGGGTTAAGGGTCTATTTATACCATCGTTTTGGACTTTTCTGAAAGTATTCCATACTCTCAATCCATGAGTCTACTCTGCTCTGTTTTTTTGCCAAACATAACATGAACCTTTCAGTTGTTGTAAATGAACATTTATTAGTATGCCAAACAAAGTTCACCAAATAAGGACAAAAATTAGAAATGACCATATTTAAAGATATTAATAATGATTTAACATATATAGTGAAGACCTAAAAATATGACTAGAAAAAATTTTGTCAAAAAAGATGGGACAAACCTTTAAAAAATGCCACAAACTTGTCTATAACTAGTTATAGACAAGTGCCCCATCCAGAGGAGATGAGTGGGAAGCATATAAACACCACAAGTGGTTACCACTGCATAATTTATCAGGTAAAAAATTATGAAAAAAGACTATTGTGACATCTAATCTACCGCAAAGGGGAAAAACTACACATAATTTGTTCTACTGTACAAAACAACTAAAGAATTTACTACATTACAAAAAAAAAATGTTTTTACAACTGAACATATGCTGCCACAGGAGTCATACTGAGGTAAAGAATTATGCATACATAAAGACTTGAGTAAAAACTATATGTACAAGCTAGTTATTCTATCATACCATTTGTAAGAAAAACAAATTCGTCCAAACTTATTTATAAAATTATGCTAAAAAATTAAATGTTTCTGACAATATTAAGCAACTTTGCACAGTGTATGTGCTATAGGTACCAAAAAAGATAGTTAACAATACAATTACATACACCCTCATACTGTCTTACATAGGCATTGTGGTTTGCATTAGAGTTACATATACCAACAAATGCTGCCTCAGACCGTCATTTTAGTTACCGATAAAATTACATGTCCACAAGAATGCTGCCTCAAACAGTCATTGTAATTACAAATAAAGTTACCTATTCCCAGATATGCTGCCTCAGACAGTCATTGTAGTTATTCAGAAGAGTTTCACATGTACCAAAATGCTGCCTCAGACAGTCATTGTTGATATCAGTAAAGTTACATATTTTATAAATGTCACATTATACAATCTACTTCATCACAAGTTTTACATCTCTCTTCCAGTTTGTGGACACATAGTTTAACATAAAGCAATGTACAAATCAACAACACAGTAACTATGGGTACTGAGCATGAACCCCTAAAAAATTCAGCTGCCTCAGACAGTCTGACTTGAAGGGGAAATATCAATACAATCAAATACAGGGATTCGAAAGTAACGTTTTACTGCATTTGAATTCCAACGACCCATGAGACGGATTTTATCTTCAGGAATGTGACACTGAAATGCATGTGATGCTGCACCTATCTGAAAGCTATGCGATTTATAGTGCTTTGTGTTTAGTCCAATATAAGACAAAGTATTTTTCAATGCCGATGTATAAAATGACTGTGTAATTGGATTGGCTCCATCAAAAGAGAATAAAGGCCCCTGCTTTGACCCTCTTACTTGAAGATACTTTGTCATTGATTGTACTGGCATATAGATTTGCATTTTTGAGCTGCTATTTGCAAACATACTGGTCTGCATGTGTCATTGTGCTTAAAATGCCGAAGCGTCAAAGTCATAAATTTCTTTTGTTTTTTATCCTTAGACAAATTGCTCATTTGAATTAAATTTCTGTGCCCTGACATTGCAGTTATTTTCCTACCCGCAAGAAAGCAAAAAAGCTTAGTGTAAACATGGCCCCCAGAAGACGCTTGTTAAACTTTCCTCAAACCGTAACATTTAAAGCTTTAATTAACTGAAACAAAATTTTGGGTGTTATGGGTAACCGCATATCAGGGGTACTTGACAGGTGTTGAGCCCCCTTAATACGTTTTTTCACCACAAAAAATTGTGTTGGATCTGCTAGCCCCTGGATTTTATGATGATAAGAGATCCCAGCGAAATATGTATTGATTGTATTATAAGATCTGCCTTTGCGGTGTAACCATGCTACAAAGTATATTACATCAGTAACTTGGGATGGGAATTTTGAGCATGATGAGAAAGTTTGCTTGTAGTA